GCTGCTGGGTAATAACAGTGTTTGCCGCCGTGAATATGGTAAAAGAAATAATACAAATGTCTTACCAGGTAGGATTTTGTTTTTATTTCAGGACAATGCAATATTTAAATTATCGTTTGTAGTTTTATTATAGTTTGGCTTTCTCAAAGGTAGCGTAAACGTGCTTGCCTGTTTTTCAAAGTTTAAACGCCATTAGCTTTTTATTGTTGATTTCCTGTAATACAACGCGTATTCACCTTAAATCATACTCGCTACCAGTTTGTGTCAGCTTGAAATTATTATTTTTTGTTCGCAGAGGGAAAAGTATTTTAGGGAAGCAACAAATGCCATAGAGTGGATTTTATACATAAGTTCGATGATCTTTGTTGCACCTTTCCTCGTTCACAATTCTTCACATTACCAGTGGTCCTGTGGTGCAGTGGCCATATTTTTAGCATGGTTTAATTTTCTGTTATATCTACAAAGGTGAGTAAAATGTTTGATATACTGATATGAAAGTAGTACTACTGCATAATGCTACTGTTACAAGTTTGCTACTGCTACTCTTAATAGGCCTACTTCTATTAATAATAATAATACTACTACTGTAAGTTGTGGTCAGTGATTTAAATGTTATTATCATCATCGTCGTCAGCATTATCATTATTATTGTTATTATTATCATTATTATTGTTATCATTATTATTATTATTATTAATATTATAATTGCTGGTATTATTATTATTATTATTATTATTATTATTATTATTATTTTACTGTTATTGCTAATATTATTTTCATTATTGCTAATATTGTATTTAGCTGTCCATTCTGCGTTTTTATTTCTTTTTCTTTTTTTTTTTGTCATTTCAAATTAATGAAAGAAAACAAAACGTGTCAATTTGGATTTATTAGAACAATTCATGTTGTTACCATTTTCAGATTTGATATATTTGGCATATATGTAGTGATGTTCCTGGAGATACTGAAAACTTTAATACAAGTATTGCTGGTGTTCTCAATTCTGATCATAGCCTTCGGCCTCGCTTTGTATATACTACTTTCCGAAGAGGTGATTCATTATGTTTACCTTCTTTTGTCCATATAACAGATTACTTTATATATATACAATACAAATGTTACAATCAAATATAGAGTTATAGCATTGTTTCCTGGGTTCTGTGTCTTTTGCTCTAATTAAAAAAATTGTTTTCACATTGGCTTATGCATATACAGATTACCTTAATATATATATATATTGTATTGCATAATATTATATATATATATATATATATATATATATATAATATTTATATTATGTTTACCTTGTAGAACCAGAAGCACAAGTATTATATAAGTGCATAAATAATATTATATTCTATTATATTATATATTATATAATAAAATTATATATATCTTATATTATATTGTATTGCATAATATTATATTATATTATATTATATTATATTATATTATATATATATTATATATATATATAATATTATTGCATAATATTATATAATATTATGTTATATTATATTATATTATATTATGTTACATTACATTTGTTTGTATGAAGAAAAGTGTCTCTAGCGGGATTAAAATCTGCAGCCTCTCTTGCTATCAGAGAGAGAGGCTATGGTTGTCGAAATAGGAATATAAGATATTATAATCGTACGAAAGCATAGCCTTCTTCAACAAAAAGTGTTCAGTTATATGAAAAAAAAGTGTCTGTAGCGGGATTAGAACCTGCAGCCTCTCTCTATCAAGGCGAGTGTCATACCGTTAGACCATACATAACTACACTGGTATATCTCACATTTAATCCCCTGGCAGTCTCTTTCATACAACTGACATTCGCTAACATATAGTGCAGCATTATGGCTATATAAATTGATATTGAAATATATCCAAATAGATAGGTTTTTTTTTTTTTTAATAAAATCTTATTGTTTTGAAATGCATTCCACAATCACAGGTTCCTCTTACAATTTGCTTTTATACATATCATAAAGCATTAATACAATATAGTTTAGAGATATTTTTACGATTGTCAATTCAAAAGTACAGTATAGAATATATATAAACAATATATATATATATATATATATATATATATAAACAATAATAATAATATATGTTTTATACTTAAAAATAACATTGGTTGGCACGATAGATAAATGCAGAGACAACACAATTATATAGGCTTCGATGCATGACTTTAGTACCACAAATTTTCTTAAATGGGTACCAATGAACCCGGTGTTCCTAATATCAAATATTGATGTCGATTTTTATTACTATCCTTTGTACACATATAGGCATATAAATAAATAATGATTTACTTTTTAAAATTACAATAGGAAAACCATGCCCATAAGACGGTAGGCCTGTCTCTGATGCACATAGTTGTGATGATGCTAGGGGAAATCGACTATATCAATTCCTTCGTAGACCCAGCCACAGACGATCGTAAAGAAACAATGCATTTCGAAAGTCTTTCATTCTTCTTTATATTTATGTTGATATTGCTAATGCCGATTCTTCTCATGAACTTACTGGTATGTATATTCTATTTTGAATATTTAATTGTTGTATTATATTTTATTATATTATATTAGGCTATATTATTATAATATAATATACTATATTTATACCAATACACTACCTCCACACTGCTCTAAATGCATAATTATATATATATATATATAAATATATATTAATAAAAAGAATATAAAATATTAGATTTAAACAAGATATACATAAACCTTAATGGAAATAGTTTATAACTGTTAAATATAATGACAAATGCAATATAATAAATGAGACATCAACCAGTAGCCCAAAATTGTAATTCTTTTAAGTGAAAATAGGCATCTTAAGAATAAATGTTTATTATTATTATTTTTTTTATTACCTACTTATTTTGATTTGTCATTGATTCTATTATAATTAATATTATTATTATTATTATAAAGTTGTATGTTCTCAACTTTTGATAAAGATGATGACATACAGGAAGATATGATCACATTAGAGAATAAGTATTACGACATACATGATTTTAATGCAGCAAACACATTAAATATAAATCAAAACAATCTATCGATTTTCTCTCTAAACTGCCGTAGCATGGTAAATAAGTTTGAAAAAATAAAAAAACTATATATCGTTACTAAATAATTCATTTACCATAATTGGACTAACCGAAACATGGTTATCTAGTAACAACGACATCAAATTTTATAACTTGCCTAACTATAATTTTATTCCATGCAATAGAACAGCACGAATGGGAGGAGGAGTAGGAATTTATATTCACAAAGACATTAGCTATATAATTAGGAAAGACTTAAATCAACTACTCACCTCTGCTGAATGCATTTTTGTTGAAATCCGTACAGTTTCCAAGCCAATCGTGTGCGGAGTTATCTACAGATCTGATAATACTGATATGACAGTACAGGCATTCAACTCACAGTTTGATGAAATAGCACATTTAATATCCAATGAAAAAAAAGAGGCTTATCTTATGGGTGACCTAAATTTTGATTTAAATATATATGATACAAACCATAATGTCAGAACCCATGTAGATAGCCTATTATCCAATTCATTTATACCACTAATAAACAAACCGACACGTAGGCCTATTCCAAACGGATCGGCCACAATCCTTGATAATATATTTACTAATTCTATTCCTACTCAATCAATAAACGCAGGAATTTTAATCGCAGATATATCAGATCACTTTCCAGTATTCTGTATAAATAAGACTGAAATTTTTAAAAATTCAGTAAAACCAAAATATATTTTTAAACGTGATAACTCAACTGAGTGCTTACAAACATTCAGAACAGAGCTCATGAATGAGCAATGGCAAAATACACTAACGCTTTGTGATGCTGACGAAGCCAACGAAGCTTACGATTCGTTTACCAATACATTAACTACGTTGTTAGACAGGTGCTATCCTATGAAAAAAGTTCGAGTTAAAACTGATAAGATACGTTCACCTTGGATGACCAAAGCTATTCAAAAATCAAACAAAAACTGTATAAAAAGTATAAAATGAAACCAACAGATGCTAACAAGACAAGATATAATAAATTTCGTAATTGTTTAACAACTATTATACGCAAAAGGAAAATAGAATTTTATGACACTGAATTTAAAAAACATAGTAATAACATTAAAAAGACATGGACAATTATTAACAATATTCTCGGCAGAAACAAAA